CCACACAATGAAGACAGTGTTCCTTTCGGAGCTCTCTGCCCAAGTTAAAAAAAAGACATCATTACGGAGCTACGGAAGCGAGCCAAAGGGGGCAGGGTTGTGAGATCATCCTGGACCGGGGCAAATTGCCAGAGTCAACAATGCTGACCATTGTGAAGCTCCGTTTACACAACACCGTATTTTCCTTCTTTCTGATGCTCCCAGGGCATGAGGGGGGCGCGTGTTGCAAAGCGAGGCTCAGGTGATGGCCGGGAGACTGGAGCTTCTAGTCATGTCACTTTGAAGTGGATGCAAAGTTTGAAATCAGCTGATCAGGAAAAAGTAGGGTGACAAATACCCCACTCTCTCCTGAGCTGCTATCTTGGTGCTTTCATAGGCTTCTGATAAGATAAGGGATCCCACGGCAAGGACTTTATCCAGAAGCACACCACCAGGGTTATACATCGCTCTGTTCAAATATGTGGTCACAGCCATCGTCTTTCCCGCTATATCCTATTGCTAAAAATAAACTGGGCTTGGGTGGATTTCAAAAACTACCTGGAGCAAGCTTCCAGGGGACGCAACAGACAAAGGAGGAAAGTCATCACAATGAAGAGTTGTGGCCTAGTTTCATTTGCAAATTGTTATTATTATTTTTTACAGCTGCTTAGAGTATAGCTATAATTAGCCTTCGTGACGAGACAGGGGCCTAGTATAATTGTAAATCTGTCTGGGCCCTGCAACTTCAAACTGCCGGTGAGACTCTCAGGACTGAATGTTCTTCCCTATGAAGGGCCTTGTCTCAGTGGTCAGAGCATCTATTTTGGGAGCAAAAGATCCCAGCTAGATGGACCAGTGTTCTGGCTCAATATAAGGCCCTATGTTCCTAAAAAATACATTGTATCTAGGAAACTAGTTGCAGGTTAATTTCCTTAGTGAGACCCAGGACTCAGCTATACAGCTGCAAATAAAAGGTTTTGTGTTGTAAAATGCAATATACAAATGTGACACTAGATGGCGACAGTGAGCTATGGCAAATTTGATATATTTTTCAAAACTTTTTTTAAAAGCATTTTCACAGCATCTTTTAAAAATACATGTGTAGATTCCACCTCAGTTTCATTATATCTAAAAGCAACAGCACACATCTTTATGACGAAGAAGAAAAGCCATAAGGCGAAATGGAAACCTCTCAGAAGTGGAGAATCTCCCAGTCTTTGATGTATAGCTTAATCATGCTTCATGCTTTGTTTTAGGCCCCCTCACTGTTAACTCCCTTCAAACCAGCCCTAATGCTGTATTTCACATGAGCATTTAATCCAAACAGTGTATAAGAATTTCAACAACAACAACAACAATTTATATGCCACCCATCCGACTGGGTTGCCCCAGCAACTCTGGGTAGCTCTCAACAAAATATTAAAAGCACAATAAAACATCCACCATTAATGCTCCAGAGGAAGGTAGAAGTTAGTCTGAGGCAGACATGCTGGAGAAGAAGACTGATCAGTTACTAGTCTCTCAGGACTGTCCAGGGAGAAGAATACAGTAGTTGCTGCCCCTGAGCTCTTATATTCCACCTAGCTCTGACTACCCTTCTCCCAAGCACATCCTTCCTCAGAAATGAAGAGTCTTACATGAGCAGCCCTCAAAGCCAAGACTCCCTTGCCTTACTATCAGTTCCCACCTGGTTCAAGACCTATCTTCTTCTTCTTTGGCGATCACCCATAGCCGAGTAAAATTGTCTTCCATAAACACGGTCTTAACAGTGAGTCCGTAAGTGACTGTGGAGGCCAATTCTGGATCCACATGTCCTTCCACAGTGGGGACATAGGTTTCCGGGTGGGAGTTGATCACGGTGAGGGTTTGCCAAGCGTGCCTTCCTCTTAGCACATTTCTCCCTTTCGTCCTGAGTTCGAGCATCTTCAAAGCCCATGGCACCTTTGGTAAGGCTGTTCTCCAACTGGAGTGCTGGCAGGCCAGTGTTTCCCAGTTGTCGGTTTCTATACTACATTTTTAAAGATTTGCCTTCAGAGAGCCGCTAAACTTCTTTTGTTGACCACCAGCATCACGCTTTCCATTTGTAAGTTTGGAATAGAGTACAGTGGTACCTCGGGTTACATACGCTTCAGGTTACATACACTTCAGGTTACAGACTCCGGTAACCCAGAAATATTGCTTCAGGTTAAGAACTTTGCTTCAGGATGAGAACAGAAATTGTGCTCCGACGGCGCGGCGGCAGCAGGAGGCCCCATTAGCTAAAGTGGTGCTTCAGGTTGAGAACAGTTTCAGGTTAAGTACGGACCTCCGGAATGAATTAAGTACTTAACCTGAGGTACTACTGTAGTTGCTTTGGAAAATGTGTAACTGTGTGCTGGCATTGGGGGGCAGGACCCCTGGGAAGAACCCCCTGGCTAAGGGGGTGCTATCTCTGGGAATCTTGGTCCCAGAATCTTGGGCTCCCTTGAAAGGTTCAGGTTCAGACATTCTGCTCATTCTCCAACACTGAATAAATTGTTCAAAATGATCCCGGGGAATGTAATTTCCCGGATATATAAAAATGAAAGGCTGTCCTCATGCAGTCGACTCTGGAGGATTTCTACTGCCGCATCACAACCAGGGATTTCTGTGAAGTCAGAGAGGGGAAGAGGAGAAACCAAAAATATCATAGAATTGTAGAGTTGGAAGGGACCAATCAGGTCATGATGGCTGAAGATGAAGCCGTTGCACAACAGCAGAGGGAAATTGAACCTTCACCGTGAGAGGGAGGATAAAGTATGCACAGCCCTGAAATATCCCATAATCCCTTCCCACAATATGTTGCCTTCAACATGAAGTCACAGATTCCGTGTGGAAATTGGGAAGGTGAGCTGTTTTATTAACAAGCAAGCAAACACCCATGTAAACAAAGCAACCATCAACTGACTTTCACCTTCTCTAGCTGAACAAACTGAGAATTTGACCTTAAGGTTCTTAAAACACGGCAAGTATCGGGTGTGCACACAAGCAGAGCTGCAGAATCGGAAGGGACGGTGGCTTGATATTAGGGCAGAAGGCGAGTGAAATATACCTGGAGTCGAGTGTGAATTTCATGCTCTTTATTCAGCTCGTAGAGCTGAAGACGCTTCAAGTTGAGCGCGTTCAAGTTGCGCTCCTCGGCAACCCGGAAGTAACAGAGCGCGTTACTTCCCGGTTTCGCCCCTTGCACATGCACAGATGCTCAAAATGATGTTACGCGCATGCGCAGAAGCGGCGAAAAGCGACGTGTGCGTGCGCAGACACGCCGTCGCTAGTTATGTTTACTTCTAGATATGAACGGGGCTCCGGAACGGATCCCGTTCATATCTAGAGGTACCACTGTATAAACATTATTTACACAACGGGCCCCGCATGATTGGCTAATTCCGGGCTGCTCCTGTAGGCCCATCAGGTTGTGGATTCACTTCCTCCAGGCGCCTGATTGGCTGCTCCTGCAGGCCAATCAGGTCGCTGGTTCACTTCCACCTGGAGCTGGATTCGGTGGCTCCTGCAGACCAATCAGACTTCTGCATTCTGGATCCTATTGATCTAGGATTCAGCTCAATACATGACACCCCTTCTCTCTAAGTTCCAGTCCTGCCTGGGAGGTTGCATTCATTCGTAGTCCTCAAGGTACACCAGCCGCCTACATATGCGGCCTGGGGTGTTTCTTGGTCAGGGGTTCTGGTTCTGACTCGTGTTCCGGGGCTGCTGGCTGTGATGGGACTGTTTGGTCTGGCGCAATTGGCCCGCTCGGTCGCAGCTCTGGTTCCAGTGTCCCTTCAGCCTCGGGGGTCCCCTCTGTACTTACTGATTCTGCCTCCCCGGCCCACCCCTCCTGCTCTATGGGCCTCACCGCCCAGCTGTCCCCTTGGAACAAACAGCATGCAGAGTCATTGCAATGTTTGGGTGCAGGAAGACCCACAGCAGCCTCCGTGGAGGTGGTCTGTGTACAAGGGGGCTTGCCCCAAAGGAGGGGGGAGGTATGGTCTTGGAGGGTAAAATGAGGGGTTCAAGGTGGGGCTGCAAAAGGGAGAAGTGGCTTCAGAAATAGGGCTGGGTGAAAAGTCTGCGTGTTTCTAAATTCCCCTCCATAATAGCAGCAAGGAAAGGCTACGGCGAGGGACACATAGAGGCCCCTTTGGACCAATTGCTCAGCTTTAGTGTGTGGCAACCACAGGAATTGCACCCTTCTGCCCATGCAAAACCATGTCACTGGCTGCATTTCAGAGCCCATACAGGAGTGTGTTAAGATTTTTGGACGTTTCTTGGCGATTCCCATTTTTAGAACGTACTGCCAGCCTAACTCCTAGCGGACAATGTCCCTCCCCCGCCATAAAATATTGGGGGGGGGGCTGCAATATGGGCATTGCCATTCAAACGGTGTGTGCGTGCTGTGTCATGTGACTGGTTATGTGTGGAGGGGCTTACCTGGTTCTCCAATATTTTATTCAAGTTGGCTCTCCTGACCATGGGTGTAGGCAATAAAATAAAAATACTTAAGTAACTGAGGCTCTGCCCCCTGGCTACACGGGGGGGGGGCGTTATGGGGGCAGTTGCCCCCCCCAATCAAGACAAATCTGAGATTCTCCCCGCTCCAACAAAAGCCTGCCCCCCAACATGACCCCCGATGGATATTCAAATGGTGCGCACCACGTCTTGTGATTTGATGCGGGACAGGGCTTGCCTGCCTCCCAACCCATATTATATTCAAGTTGGCACGCCTGGGCAGGGCACTCCCAACGCGCCAAGGGCTGCGGACCCCGGCGCCTGCTTGCCAACGCCTCGCTGGGCTGCGCCGGTAAGCTCCAAACCCGTGGGGAGCGGGCTCGGGGTCTGCACCGCCCCACAGAAGGGAGGACCTCGTGACCCACTTTGCCGGCGGAGGTCACTGTCGGTCATTGCCTTCCCGGTTCCGGGAGCGGCGTAAGCCTCTCGGGCGCGCGCGCGCACGCCCCCTTTCCCTCCTAACCTCTCCCTCTCCCCGGCGGCGCATCAGCTGCTAAGGGGAAAGTCCCGGCTGACGCGCCGGCTGCGCACCCGGCTGGCCATGCGAGGGCCATGCATGCAACGGAGTCCCTCCGCGGCCAACGGCGCCGTCCAACAGCAGATTGCGGGCAGCCAATGCGGAGCGCGCAGCGAGGTGGCACCAAAGTGCCGGCGACCAATGGGAGGCTCTCTCCAAGTGCCAAGGTACCAGCCTCCTGCTCGCCTCTGCGCCCAGCTGCGCTCCACTTAAGCAGCGCCACCGGACCGTCAAGGCATCCTTTTCGGCGGAGTTGCGCAGAGTGGACGGACCCTGATCGCCCCGTGGTGCGCCGCTGGACATCGTCGCCGTGCAAACAAAGGGCCAGAGAGAGAGAGAGAGAGAGAGAGACCGGGCACCTCCTGGGGGGTTACTCGCGTTCAGGGCTCGGGCAACTTAAATAGCTGCGCACCAGCGCGCACAGCAGCCAAAGGAGGGACTTGGAGGCAGCTGCGCACCAGCGGAGCCGGGGAAGAGCATCGCCGAGAGAGCATCGCGCCGGAGGAAGAGCAGCACAAAGCCCTCTTCCGATGCCTGCCCAACTAGCCCACGGGGAGGTAAGGCGCCGCTTCCTCCTCCTTAATAATTTTTATTTTATTTTTTTAAAATGGTGAGTCGCTTTCTCTTGCCCAAGGCAACCCAGAGCGGCTGACGACTCATCCGTCCCCCTTGGTAGGTCGTTGCTGCCTGTCCCGCGGGATGGGGGTGCAATCCGACCCCATGGCTTGGGAAGCCCGGTCCGCATCCTTTCCTGGGCAAGAGCCGGGGATCAGCATCCTGCCTGCCTGCCTGCCTGCTTCTCCCTTCTCCTCCAGCATCCCAGAGCAGCATCCCTTTCCTTTAGTGTTATTATCCTTCTTTGATGGCCGCGTCGAAAGGCCCTGCAAAAACATCCATTAAAAAAAACCCCAACCTATTCCGGTCTTTCCCCTGCGCGCACCTCCTTAAACCAGAGGGTAAGTCGTCCCTCTCGTGTGAATAATGCAAGCCCCGCGCCGAGGTCTTGCCCTGCAGCCAGGCCTTCCACAGCCCGACCTGGTTTTTGCAACGGCTTCTGTGCGCAAGGGGGCGGAGGCGCTGCGCAATCGCTGGCGATGCGCGCCGCGGAGCGAGGCAGAGGGGCGTCACTAGCCGGGCCATTGGCAGCGGCTTTGTGATGGAGACAGTGGGGAAAGCTGCCGGCTGCAGCCTTCTTTGCCTTTTCCTGGGAGCAAACCCTTTTAAAGGCAGTGGGGTTTGCATGGGAGTAAACACGTATGCGCTGCGTTAGAGGGAGAGAACCCAGTCTCTCCAAGCCACGACTGCGCCACTGGTTGGATCTTCTTTTTCACCCGATGCCTCACTGCGGTCCTGGCAGCCCAGCTGCAGCTCCGAGTATGACAGGCTGCAGTCTCAATTTGCATTTACTTGCGAGCAAGCTCTCCTTTGCAACGCGCCCCCGGATTGAAACCTGCACGTTAGTTTCTCTTTGGCAGAAGAGCTTTCGGCGAAAAGGGTATCCTTGCCAGGGCTTTTAGCAAGATTATAGAATGAGCAGGTTACTCCCGGGAGGCCACCTGGCCTTTAGGAATGCGGTTTCGGCTGCCAAGTTGCCTTTAGCATGCTTGAGAGAGCATCCAGGTCATTCTCAAAAGCCGCTGACAATACCTGTCCAGTCAAAAACGGCAGGCAGCATTTGGCGGATGGGGGGGAACTGCATAGGTGCCACAGATCTACACAAGCTAAGCATCTGTGTTGTCTCAAGGCCAGGGAAAGAAAGTGGTAATACTAGCGTGTTCTTGCAGGAGTGGCCAATCTTTTATGTTACTCATAACTTGCTACTGTGCACATCTGTGCATATCTGGCTTTCAGATATCCAGGAGCCAAACCTCCTTAGGTGGTGGTCTCACATGCCCTCAGGCAATATTGTTAATAAATGTTGCTGCTAATAGAAATACATTTGACCAAAAGTTCTATGAAACACAAAAAGCTGCTTATTTTTAAAATTTTCCTCCATGCAAACTGGTTTGTTAAAAGGCAACGAATTAGTCATTCTGTATTCTCCAGGACCATCATAAAAAAGAACTCTCGACTCCAGTGTTCATTTCATATTCAATGCAGTAATGCTCCTTATTCAGTTCTCTTGCTAGAAATAGCCCGTCGTGTCCCAGAGGCTCAAAGCTGTTTCCAAAACACTGGTTGCCCCAATCCTAACAAATTAGACTGCAATCTCACACACCCCTAAAGCAATTACAGCACAGTACAGTACTGACTTCTCTGTAGCCGTAGTTAGGACTGCAGGCCTAGTTACCATTTCGGTGACTCTCTGTATCAAACGATGTTGATTCACATTCTTCAGTGGGGTTTCCTTCCTTCCTTCCGTGTGTGCATTACACGGGATTGCAGCCTAGATCTTTTTAAATTCTCCATTAGAATGAATGGGACTTAAGAAGTGTTTGACTTTGGCTATAAATTGTGTCCCTTGCAACTGACCATCACATGGATACTATAGCAATGTTAATTGGTTTGTAGAAAAAGGTGGGAGCCTTTGGACTCTCAGACAGAATGGAAGGGTAGATCTTCCCCAATGAGCTTTCTTTGGCATTCCTGTTTGACATTTATTATGTTTTTATATGTGCTGGAAGCTGCCCAGAGTGGCTGGGGAAACCCAGCCAGATGGGCAGTGTATAAATAACATCATCATCATCATCATCATCATCATGACACTACCCCTTCCATCACATTTCTGTCACTCCTTGTTCCATCACCTCCCCCTTTGTTACATCATCCCTGCTTCTCCTGCATCTCTCTTAAGGCGTGACAGGGAAGCCTGTCTACTTGGGCAAGCTTGAGCCCTATTTTTTGAAGGCTCCAAATTACACGAGCCACCCACACAAAGCAAGGAGGCTGCAACTGAAGCAATCATTCAGTTAGTGAAACGAGAACAGATAAAACAATAATAGCCGCTGTGAAACGCAGAGCGTCTAATTTGCTAACTGTTGCGCTGCAGAGTTAACAGCTTCTGGTGAATAGCCTGGCAGAATAGCCAGATCTTAAACCGATGCTGTAACTGAGCTAAAGTGAGTGCCAAACATAACTCAGATTAGAGGGTTATTCCACATTTGGGGTGCCACCACAGGGAAGGCCTTCTCCTGTGTCACCGAATGGTTTCCAAAGTCACGATGATAGAAAGAGCCCATCTCAAAGATCTTAATGCCTGGCTACTGCAATGCTGTGTCAGATTTCTATGTCCCAAGCCTTTCATGGATCACACCAGAATTCTGTGATTCTGTGACACCAGAATTTCTGGATTCTGACCAGAAACATATTACAGTGGTACCTCAAGTTATGCACTTAATTCGTTCTGGAGGTCTGTACTTAACCCGAAACCGTTCTTAACCTGAGGCGCGCTTTCGCTAATTGGGCCTTGCACCACAATTTCTGTTCTCATCCTGGGGCAAAGTTCTTAACCCGAGGTACTACTTCCGGGTTAGCGGAGTTTGTAACCCAAAGTGTTTGTAACCTGAGGTGTTTGTAATCTGAGGTACCACTGTATTTATTTTACGGTATGTCATTCATTTCACAAAATTTGCATGCCGCTTAATTGTAAAAAGAAAAAACACCATATTAGGTTAAGGTCTGATTAACTACAATAATAATTTTCTCCCCTTTTTTGCAATGTACACAATATATTTTTGTTGTTGTCCTGTTTCGTTTTCCACATGGGTACTATTTCTCCTGGGCGCTTGTAATTTTGTCCTTTTTATTTTTCAATAAAGAATGCATACCTATTTATATAATCGTGCATATATTCCAATCCTCTGGATATATTTAGAAAAAAGAAAAGGGAAATCCCTCAAAGGAGCTTACGGCCCTGCCTTAGCAGGGTAGCTTCCAGGCTGCGTAAGGGCGCCATCCCACGCCTCTCTTCTCAGAAGTAAGCTTAGTGGGTTCAGTGGAGCTTGCTCCCAGGGAAGTGGGTGTCAGGATTACAGCGTTCATCACCCTGCAGCTTCACTGAAATGGATGAGCCGAACCGTGCCTAACTTTGGGATTAAAGCATGACGGCAGGACCAGTCCTGATGCTATCACTCTCACCAGGCCAGGTTTAGAAGCCAGAAGCCGTGGGGAGACTCCTCCCAGCACCTATATGGGTTTTTGCAGCCCCCTGCAAAATGGTTCCCTCAGTCTCTATCTCTAGCAAGAAAACCTGGTTGCTAGAGGCAAGCAGTTCGTTTACCTGCCACTGCAATTAACTGCAGGCTTATTATTATTTTTTTGGAACCAGGGACTGAGGAGGAGCAGGAGGAGCCAACCTTCCTGGGTCCTCCTCGTGTGTAATTTTGGTACAGTCTGTGTAAGCTCCTTTGATTGGCGGAGGTGGCTGTGGGGTGAGGGTGAGGAGAGCACATTAGTCATTGTGGTTCTGGGCTGAGGTGATGAGGTGGAGAGATTTTATGGGGTGTGGGGGGGGGGGAAGGGGCCCTCCTGCCAGTCCCAGCCCCTTTGATGCCTTCATTGTTCTGTCTCTCCCTACCGGTCAGAGGCAATAGACATAATTACAGCCAGCTCAAAAGACTATACAGGAACCTCTGTGGAGCTGTTTTGGAGTAGTCTAAAGAAAGCCAGCCTGATTTGTTTCCATTTACGAATCGCTTCCTGTCTCGAAGCTGTTAGCAATAAAAACCTCAAACAGAAGACATTAAATTATTTGCATGACATAATTATCTTTACAATTTTATTTCAGCTCCTTATTTATCTTTTCCTCGGGTTCTCTCTCTCTGTGTGTGGCCTTGCTTCTTTTAAATTTTGTCTTTACTTTACCTTTTTATGCATGTTGCATATTGCCTCACCTTTCAAATGCCAGCTGAAAACTTTTTCTTTTCTATCATACTTATGCAGGCAATTATGAATACATTTCCCCACAACTTTCTTGATGTGGCCTTTATTGTACGGCTTCATATATTAATGCTGCAAAGTGCTCTGGTTTTCCCTCCAGTGAATGATTTATAAAGCAAACAAACAGATCATTTCATTTCCCCACTGATGACTGTTATTTCCTTCTGTGCCGAAGATTTCAATATACTGTATAGACAAAGAAACAATAATTTAGTATACAAAAACAATTCAAATCTAATGCAGATGCTGACTGGACTAATTTAACATGCCCATTTTCTTTCTACCGTACGGTGACTTCCAGCTAAAGTCATCATAAGGGGGCACGATATGTTATTGAACTACAGCTCCCATCATCCATTGCTGGGGCTGATGGAATTTGGAGTTCAAAACATGCAGAAGGCACCACATTGGCCATCCCTTCTCTGGTTGCTGTGAAGGCTTTAGAAGAGGAACAAACATGGTTAGGAATAGAAGGGGAAATCAAGAGGAGAAATCTGGTACAGAGTTTCTTTGAATATGACCTATCAGGAAACTCAAGACATCCCAGGAATGAAAATCATTTATTTATTTTTTGAATTTGCATTTTATTTATGCAACGGTAAACGTTGTCATATTACATTACAGGACTTACGATAGTATAATTACCAACACGTATACAAAAATTATATACAAATTTTATATACCGTATTTTTCGCTCTATAAGACGCACCAGACCACAAGACGCACCTAGTTTTTGGAGGAGGAAAACAAGAAAAAAAAATATTCTGAATCTCAGAAGCCAGAACAGCAAGAGGGATCGCTGCGCAGTGAAAGCAGCAATCCCTCTTGCTGTTCTGGCTTCTGGGATAGCTGCGCAGCCTGCATTTGCTCCATAAGACGCACACACATTTCCCCTTACTTTTTAGGAGGGAGAAAGTGAGTCTTATAGAGCAAAAAATACGGTACCTAGAAAGAAAATGAAACAACAAAAAAAGAAAGAACAAAGAGAAAAAACAAAAACACCCCCCAAATCATATAAATACCAACACACAAGACTTCCTGTCTATCCTGTTGTATATTCCTTTTTTACAAATGAATGCACTCTTATTATTGTATATTTCTTTACATTTTATCTGATACATTCCTATATCAATATGATTGATATCAATCAATATCAGATAAGTCTTATTTCTCAACTCATTCTCACTGCAACGTCAATCAAATGCTAGCATAGATAGCGAACCTTTACTGTACAGGAATGAAAATCAAGATGAGAAACTGTTACTGTCCTCACCCTTTGTTATATACGGGGCTTTTTTTCCCCTAGCCAGAGCTCACCGGAGCTCAGCTCCGGCACCTCTCTGGTGGGCACTGTTGCCATCCTAAGAGAATAAGGGGGAAATTCGTGGTAAGCTCTGGCACCTCTGGGGATAGGGCAAATGCTTCATGCCACTGCTCCTGGTCTGGTACCCATTGCTGTGAGAAGAGGCTTAATACCGTATTTTTTGCTCTATAAGACTCACTTTTTCCCTTCTAAAAAGTAAGGGGAAATGTGTGTGTGTCTTATGGAGTGAATGCAGGCTGCGCAGCTATCCCAGAAGCCAGAACAGCAAGAGGGATTGCTGCTTTCACTGCACAGCGATCCCTCTTGCTGTTCTGGCTTCTGAGACTCAGAATATTTTTTTTCTTGTTTTCCTCCTCCAAAAACTAGGTGCGTCTTGTGGTCTGGTGCGTCTTATAGAGCGAATACTACGGTATATGTCAGGTCTCAAGAGTAGCTTTTTGCACCATGTTAGTGCCTGCTCCCGCTTGCATTGTGATTTTCTCATGTGGGCGGGATCTCGGTGCTATTTGCCAGTCCGGAGGAGGAGGCAGCTTTGGAGAATGACTTCCCTGCTGCCAGCTGCGCCCGGCTGGAGCCTGTCTCCTGATCTCCTCTGTTCTCCACCGAGCCTCTCATCAGGACATGTCGCCTTTCTTGAAACCTTCTGATGGTGTGACAGTGCGAGTCACTTCTGAAGTAATCTATGTGGTGTCCTTTCGATCGAAGTGCCAGCAATTAGGAAGAATTAAGATCTGGAATTTAGATAAATGCTTTGTGTTGTTTATGAGAGGGAGGGTTATATCATTGATCACCTGATGCTTTATTGGGACAGTTGCATAAGGTCAAAATGGGTTGATTGGGAATAGCTACCGCTGACCTGTTTCCTTGTATGATGGCAGTCACTAGTCTGAAAGAACTGCCGCACTAAATGAAGGTTGCCATCTTGCTTATGTGTAGAAAAGAAGTGGCCGTGTGCCACGATACCTTGGTTTCTAGCCAGCTTGTTTAAATGATGATAATTACAAGCAACCAGAATTAGCGGTGGCTTCTCAACATGGCCCATCTCTGCCTGAATGTGCCTGAGAGCCCAGGAGCCATTTAGCCGCCTGTGGATTTGCCTAAGATAACAAGAGCTTTGGTTCCAATTCTTCTCTTTGTGACTTTGGTTTCCGTTTCCCTTTCTCTGCCTCTTGTGCCAGATTCCCTCAGATTTCTCCACCACCACTGCCTTCGCTCGCGTGGCCCAGAATGGGGCAGCTAGCATGGAGAAGGTCCACTCCGCCCAGGATGACATCGGACCTCACAGAGAGATGACGGATGACGTTTTTGACGAGACCTATCGTGAGAAAGAAGGCCCCAAGCCGCAGAAGAGATACGTCTGGAGGAACATAATTCTCATGTCTCTCCTCCATTTAAGTGCACTGTATGCAGCTATCTGGCTCACCCCTACAGCGAAGTTTGCCACCTTGGTGTGGGGTAAGCAAAGAACGTGTTGATTTCCCTCTGAAGGAATTGCCTGCTTGTTTTGCTCTGTTTTCTGACCTCCTGCGCAATGGGATCTGCCTCTCATCGTTGCCGTGTTCAGCCTTGCTCTCAGAGGGCCTCGAGGAGAATTAATTACCACCTGTGAACACAGGAACAGGCTCCACTGGGAAGAATTGTGGTGTTTTTTTAATTAGTTCAAAAGCATATTGTAGCACACACTTAAGTTCCCTCCTCAAGGCAGCTGGAAGGCCCACCTGGAGTGCCAATACCCTCATAGCCATTAAGATACACATCCTTTCCTTCTAAAAAAAATGTTTAGTAAGCTGATTTTTGGGCGCAAAGGCATTTTTTTTAAAAGTCCCTTTACACCTGGGCTGGTTAACCCTCTTGGGGGCAGCTCACCAGAGTTACTATGTTAGGGTCATGGCAGATGAGTCACTATTGCGTACTGACAGGGAGAAGCATCGGGGAGTCAGTGCGGTGCAAACACACCCACAGAGCCAATCTGGTGCTCCCGCTGAACCCTATTTGTTAAGTTTACTTATTGCATTTATATGTCTGCCAAGACATCCAAGGCAGTTTGCAATTTTAAGGTATTAAGATGTCACATGCAAAAGTTAATCTTGTTGATGAGTGACTTCTGAGGATACAACTCAGAAGTCTTAGTTGGATACAACCTACAGCATGAAAGCAGGTCTGTTTGATATCTTTCAGGAAGGCTGTTCCTTCTCAGTAGAATTACAAACAGTTTTGTTTTTGATTCCGTCCCTCCACTGAACATGTGCACAGCTAAACTGTCCTAAGAGACCATGTGCTGTGCATATGTTCCTAATGAAATGGACAAAATAGTGGACTGAAGATATAAACAAAAACCAATACAGTGGTACCTCTGGTTATGAACTTAATTTGTTCCAGAGGTCCGTTCTTAACCTGAAACCGTTCTTAACCTGTGGTACCACTTTAGCTCATGGGGCCTCCTGCTGCCGCCACACCGCTGTTGCACGATTTCTGTTCTCATCCTGAGGTAAAGTTCTTAACCTGAGGTACTACTTCTGGGTTAACAGAATCTGTAACCTGAAGTGTTTGTAACCTGAGGTGTTTGTAACCTGAGGTACCACTGTACTCAAATCCTGACATCCATGTCATCCCCTTAAAAAGAAACGTGAAATACTCTTCAACATCCTATTTTCAACTAGAACAACAAACGTTTCGCCATGCTTGTCGAAAGCAGTGGGGCAAACAAAGACTTTTCGAGTGGTTTGCCTCCATAAATTTGCACAAAATAGCAATTTGCTACCACCACTTGAGGGCATTAGACCAGCCACTGTGCAGGCCACAGAAGGCTCTCTCTCTCTCTCTCTCTCTCTCTCTCTCTCTCTCTCTCTCTCTCTCACACACACACACACACACACACACACACACACACCCCACAGCTGTCAACGTTTCCCCTTTTTTAAAGGGAAATTCCCTTATTCTGAATAGGATTCCTCACAAGAAAAGGGAAAAGCTGACAGCTATCACACACATACGCCTCTAAAATGGCCACTTCTTGGGTGACTTGTGAATAAACAGCATAGGAAGCAAAATAAATGCTCTCCTCCCTACAGTGTGAACATTGGGGTTTCTTCTTTTTATCACTTTTGAAATTCTGCTCTTTAGAAAGCTTTAGCAGAGAGGCTGCTTTGTTTAGACTTTGCAGGGAGACGTAGCCAATTCCAGGCAAGGGTGCATCTCCACCTCAAAGTTGCATGCTTTCAAAGGGCAGTTTCAGAGAAGCTAATATTTATGGGGTGTGTCTCTTAACATTCCAGCTTTTGTTTATCTTCCTTCTGGGAAACGTCCATGCTCTCCATTTGAGAACGCTGCTGTTTTCAACGTTCTCTCCTTCTGAAATATGCGCTCCTTGTAGGAATGCGACATACAAAAGTTCCCAAGATCAATGCCTGGCATCTTGAAGTAGGATTGGGGAAAGAGAACCCTGTTTATGACCCTGAAGGTCTTCTCAATGACGAGTGAGAATGACCACTGGTCTGCTTCCTATCTCAGATGGAAAAGATGGGAAATGTATTCTGGGTGAGATGGAGTTGCAGATTGGGTGGATGAAAACCCTGTCTTTCACCTTGAGCCCTTTGAAGAAAGGTGGGGTCTAAATGCAGTACATAAACAAACAAATAAGGATGGAGAAACTCCAGGAACTCCATCCGTTTAATGCTGGAAGAGGACAATATTTCAGCCACTTACCCAGCCAATGTTTCAAATGCAAATAAACTTCAGCTCAGTAGTTTGAACCAATGGCAGCTATAAAATCCCATTGATAGCCACAATGACAAAGCCTTTGGGGTGGAGGGGGGAGGAAACGCATTTGACATCAGGTGACATTCTGAAACTGGCAAGATAACCTCTTCCAGACCTCAGCCTTTTTGCCCTCGTCCCAATATCCGCCTTGCTGCATCACTGCAAAGAACAGCCGATGAACCACAAAATGCCACCCAACTTTGAATTGCCTGAGTTCTGAAAGATATGAATGTCTGATTTGTGGTAAATGGAGGAACTTTATCCCATTTACTCTCAGAACCTCACTGTTCACATACTGCAGAATGGACTGGCTCCAAGGCATTAATTAGTACATATAATAACCAGTACATAATAACCGGTCCCTGCTTATTATCTTCTCTTTTTTATTGTAGTACATGTAGATCTTTATAGACAAAGCTATGGAGATCTTTTTTTATACTGCCATGTTTAGAATGTGATTTGACGCCGCCAGCAGCAATAATGATAACAGATTACAAGAGCTGAGTGTACCCACAGTTGATATGCAAACTGCTCTGTATGGAGCCATCAACCAGGGTGTTTGGAATTGGGCTGTAATGGGGCAATTTGCACTTTCTAATCAGGTGAACCTGTGGGGCTGCCCTCTTTAAAAAGAGGGAGGCAACCCCAAGTTACATATTTAGAACTTAAAGTGCCCAAAATGAAAGGCCTGGAAACAAGGAACAAGGGATAAATGTTCTGTTTTTGTTTCTTGTTGTTTATTTTGGTCCAGCTGACTCAGATTTTTCACAATAGAAGCCGAAATATTCGGCATCAGCTGAGCCCCCACAAAGGCCCTTTGTTCTGAACAAGGAGCCCAATTTTAAAGACAATGTTTTGGTCATTTCCCCTGAGAAGCCATTGTGCTTCGAGAACAGCACTGCCTTCTGGGTTTCAGATGTGCTAGTTATACGGTCTGTCCTCACAATTGATCCCTCTAGGTTGACTGTGTTAACAATCCTTCAGCATCAATTCAAGGCCATCGTTTCAAGCACCCAATTTAGGAGACTAGCAGCGATATCATTGCTACAAACAGTGGGAGGTGACTTTCCCTCTCACATACCCTCCAACATTTCTCTGATGAAAATAGGGACATCCTATTCCATAATAAGGGATGCGGGTGGCGCAAAACCACTGAGCCTCTTGGGTTTGCCGATCGGAAGGTCGGCTGTTCGAATCCCCGCAACGGAGTGAGCTCCCTTTGCTCTGTCCCAGCTCCTGCCAACCTAGCAGTACGAAAGCATGTCAAAGTGCAAGTAGATAAGTAGGTACCGCTCCAGCGGGAAGGTAAACGGCATTTCCGTGCACTGCTCTGGTTCGCCAGAAGCAGCTTAGTCATTCTGGCCACATGACCTGGAAGCTGTCTGCGGACAAACGCCAGCTCCCTCGCAACCCCAGTGTCGTCCGTGACCCGACTTAATGGTCAGGGGTCCCTTTACCTTTACCAATCCATAATAATACTACTACTAATTTTATTATTTATACCCTCCCATGTGACTGGGTTGTCCCAGTCATTCTGGGCATCTTCCAACACATATAAAAACATAATAAAACATTGAACATTAAAAAACTTCCCTGTGCCTTCAGGTGTCTTCTAAAGGTTGTTACTTATCTCCTTGGCCCGGGAGTCACATAACTCTATACCCTCCAACATTTCTCCAGTGAAAATAGGGAGAGCGTACCATACCCTCCCAACAATTCTCCAACGAAAATAGGGGTGTCCTAAGGAAAAGCAGGACATTCCAGGATCCAGTCACGAACAGGGACAGCTTCTGAAAATCCAGGACTGTCCCTGGAGAATAGGGACACTTGGAGGGTCTGTAATTAGTGATTTGATTCAGAGCAGGGTTAACACCTGGGGTTCTAGGAAGCAGGGGAATTTTCAGCACTAGATGCAGTAAGGCTGTTTCTGCCCAAAGTGACTTGAGCACAATAACAGTCCCTTGCGACAGCTATGCATGCTGTCTACTCCTATGCGCAGCGCAAGATCAGGTTTTGCCAGCAGAGCGATCAGGTTTCTGAGCATCCTCTGCTTACAGAAACTGAACTGCAGTCTTCTATTGATTCCCATATCAGGATTGGCACTGCCAGACAAATTATGGTTTCTCTCCCCACCCCCAACCACTAGTTGCCAGCTTTTAAGGAAGCACCAAAAGCTGTATTATTTCAGCAGGTATTTGAAAAGGTCATTTTTCTCAGTTTGGCTTTTTGCTCTTCTGTTTCTGCCCTTTCTGATTGTTTGGTTCTCCCTTTCCATTTCCCGTTTATGTTGTTTTAAGAAGTTGTTCAGTTTAAAGATGTCCAGTGTGTGTTTTTCCTAGAAAGGTGGGCTATACATTTTAATTTACATTTTAAAAAAAGTATTTGTATTCCGCGTGAGCAGCTAAAGAAGCAGGAGAGCTGATCTAGTAACAGAGAAACTATTCGTTGGCTCAGCAGAGCTTACAATCTGTTGTTCTTGACTTATCTATGTGTAGTGCACTGGCTTTGTGGTTAATCTGTGGCTTGGTTGCTCCTTCCACAAGACTTGCAGCACTAGACCTGCCCATAAACATTTAATGACTCTCCTTATCATTTTAGAACTTCTGCTATTGCCTCCTTTTAATAAACTCTGCACTTGTGATGCATGCAGGAGTTGTGCAATTAATCCACCGGGATATTACAAGTATTGTTGAGGAGGGGTCCATGACTCACACGACAAATGAAAAGCCTTGCTAGCTGGGAAATAATTGCATTTGCCCTATCAATAAGATATAATTTAGTTCTGGAAATATGCGACGTCTCCGGCCCAAAGCTGCCTGGATCTCATGCAACAAATACTGCATGCCAAAAAATAATAACAATTAAGAAATCAGACGTTTGTGAAGTGGATCTCTTGATATGCCCTAAAAGATCAGACACAGATTTGCAGTGTTGGGTGAAACCTGTCTGAATGGCAATTCTTTGCCTTCTGTTTCTCTAACAAATTGAACTCCAGGTTCTTCCTTCAAATGAGTATTATTATTGTTGTTTTTTTTAAAAAATATTTTTATTAGATTTTCCACAGTGATAACACAAACCACAAAGCAAAATGATATGCAAAAACAGAAAAAGAAAAAGAAAAAAGAAGAAAGAGAGAAAAAAAGGGGAACAATAAACAGATAAACAATAACAACAAACTTAATTCTTCACAAATCCAACCTTTTAAACATCTTGGTTGACTTCCTCAAATCCCTCCCTTCTGAGTTTCCTTGTAATTAAAAGTAACAGCTTTCCAATATCATTATTAAACTAAAACAATTTCCAATTATAGTCCATCTTATTCACTTTTATTAACATTCTAAATCCCATTTATTTAAGTATAACTTAATTTAATCCTAGGCCTATTTGTTTCTTTCAAGTCATTTCTAATTTTTTTATATTACAATATTTATTCAAATAGTCCTTGAATTTCCTCCAGTCCTTATTACTGGTTTGTTTGTTTTAGCAATGCTTACGTTTGTGAGTTGCAGTGGGATAACGCTGAAGTAGGCGTCTTCTAATTCACTCTCTCAAGTCAAATCAAGTAACCTTTATTGGCAACACATAAGAAAATTCAGAATACATTCAGAATAGATAGGCCAGTGCGATCTCGTCGCCACCCCAGCGGCGCAGTCACCCACCAAGGGGCAGAAGAGGCGAGTGATCCGCCTCATCTCTGTGGGTTTCCAACAAGGGCAGGATCCTGTAGCATAAGGTAAAGGGACTCCTGACCATTAGGTCCAGTCGTGGCCGACTCTGGGGTTGCGGCGCTCATCTCACTTTACTGGCCGAGGGAACCGACGTACAGCATGACTAAGCCGCTTCTGGCGAACCAGAGCAGTGCACGGAAACAATGTTTACCTTCCCGCTGGAGTGGTACCTATTTATCTACTTGCACTTTGACGTGCTTTCGAACTGCTAGGTTGGCAGGAGCAGGGACCGAGCAACGGGAGCTCACCCGTTGCGGGGATTCGAACCGCCGACCTTCTGATCAGCAAGTCCTAGGCTCTGTGGTTTAACCCACAGTGCCACCCCGTCCCTCTAGCATACGTCAGTGACAAAAAATCAAATAGAGGAACTTAGCTACTGTCTTGGTGAGCTCCTTGTCTCTCCCCTGTAATAAGAAGCGGATAACCTCCGTTTCTGGTTTCCATGTTGGAATACATAGATGGTCTAGAAATTGTTGGCGGAGATCATCATACATTTAAGGGCCGTGTGAGCTAGAGTGTCCACCAGGTGGGCATCGCATGGGCAGATTCTATCTCCTTCTGCCAAACCCGCAAACCTACCCCAAAGGAGGTTAGAAGGATTAGAATTGAACCTAGCCAACAAAAAGGCCCTTCTTTCTTGCAGATTAAACAAAAATTGTAAGCAATTAGGATTAAATTCCTGCGCCCAAGAGACTCAAAATTCACTCTCTCCCTCGCTTTTCTTGTTCGCAGTATTTGTTCTCTTCGTCTTGAGTGGGCTGGGAATCACAGCCGGAGCACATCGCCTTTGGAGCCACCGTTCCTACAAAGCCAGTCTGCCTCTCCGAATATTCTTGGCGATCATCAACTCCATGGCTTTCCAGGTAAGAATTATGAGATGATTAACATGGCCAGATTCCAGAGTCATGGATACATGAGGAGAGGGCAGATAAGGCTACATGCCTCCTGCAGTTTGGCTAACTTGGAGTTCCGTACAAAAAAATTGGTATCTCACCCCCCTCTCTTTCCCCCAGTAACTTTTATTTCCCTTTTTCTGTACAGCGGTACCTTGGTTCTCAAATTTAATCTGGTTTGTAAGTCCGTTCCAAAACCAAAGTGTTCTAAAACCAAGGCACGCTTTCCCATAGAAAGTAATACAAAATGGATTAATCCGTTCCAGACTTTTAAAAACAACCCCTAAAACAGCAATTTAACATGAATTTTACTATCTAACGAGACCATTGACCCATAAAATGAAAGCAATAATCAATGTACTGTACTGCAAAATGAATAAGACAGTATTGTAGAGGATAAAAATTAGAAGTATTTTTTTTTCTTACCTGCACTGATGATGGTCATTGTTTGAATGGAGGGCTTTTATCCATTTCCGCAGTCACGCAATCAATCAATCAGTAGCTGAACTGGCTTCCACACAGTCACAAAAACAAATTAACCGAAAAAGCCTCAAAAAGAGAAATGCAAAATAAAGAGCAAAAACAAAAGCGCCAAACTTAATCTGTTTTGGAAGTCCATTTGCCTTCCGAAATGTTTGAAAACCAAGGTGCAGCTTCTGATTGGTGCAGGCACCAATAGCCGACAGCCGCATCAGTTTGGCTTCCGAAACATGTTCCAAAACATTCTCCTTTCCCTTCCTCCCCCACAACAAACACTCTGTGAGGTGAGTGGGGCTGAGAGACTTCAGAGAAGTGTGACTAGCCCAAGGTCACCCAGCAGCTGCATGTGGAGGAGCGGAGACGCGAACCCGGTTCCCCAGATTACGAGTCTATCGCTCTTAACCACTACACCACACTGGCTTCTTAGAGCATTGCATTCAGGGTGAATGAGTTAAGGAAGTACAGTGGTGCCTCGCAAGACGAAAATAATCCGTTCCGCGAGTCTCTTCGTCTAGCGGTTTTTTCGTTTTGCGAAGCAACCCTATTAGCGGATTAGCGCTATTAGCGGCTTAGCGGCTATTAAAGGCTTAGCGGCTTAGCGGCTAAAAGGCTATTAGCGGCTTAGCGGCTTAGAAAAAAGGGGGGGAGCGAAAAAAATTGCAAGACTCGCAAGACGTTTTCGTCTTGCGAAGCAAGCCCATAGGGAAATTCGTCTTGCGAAGCAACTCAAAAACGGAAAACCCTTTCGTCTAGCGGGTTTTTCGTCTTGCGAGGCATTCGTCTTGCGGGGCACCACTGTAGTTTGTTTTATCTTCCATGTTAAAGTATTAAAGTATTTTTTATCTTCCATGTTAAAGTATTAAAGTATTGCTGTCAAGAGCCAGTGTGGTGTAGTGGTTAAGAGCGGTAGTCTCGTAATCTGGGGAACCGGGTTCGCGTCTCCGCTCCTCCACATGCAGCTGCTGGGTGACCTTGGGCCAGTCATACTTCTTTGAAGTCTCTCAGCCCCACTTACCTCACAGAGTGTTTGTTGTGGGGGAGGAAGGGAAAGGAGATTGTTAGCCGCTTTGAGACTCCTTAAAGGGAGTGAAAGGCGGGATATCAAATCCAAACTCTTCTTCTTCTTCTGTGGAAGCGGAGGACTGTTGTCCAGCTCGAACCACGACTAATGTGTTTGCCTTTGCGTTTCATCCAGAACGACATTTATGAGTGGGCCAGAGATCACCGTGTCCACCACAAATACTCTGAAACGGATGCTGATCCCCACAACGCAAAGCGAGGCTTTTTCTTTTCTCATATCGGCTGGCTGCTGGTACGCAAGCACCCTGACGTCAAAGAGAAGGGAAAGAAACTGGATCTCTCCGACCTGAAGGCTGACAAAGTTGTGATGTTCCAAAGGAGGTGAGCAAAGGGCTCCCGTTGATGTTGCTTTCTTTTTCCAGAAGATAGGAAATGGATTTGTTTGTTTGTTTGTTTACATAAACTGAAAATCAGATAAGCATTCATAGTGGAAGAACTGTAGATTCCAAATTTCCAACCTTTACAGTACAGTGGTACCTTGGTACTCGAACGGCTTGGCTCCCGAAAAACCGGCTCCTGAATGCCGCAAACCCAGCAGTGAGTGGCTTGCGAACGTTTTTCAGAAGCCGAATGTCTGACGCGGCTTATGATTGAGTGCAGCCCATCCGAAGCCGCGCCTTGGTTTTTGAACCGTTTCGCGAGTCGAATGGACTCCCGGAACGGATTACGTTTGAGAACCAAAGTACCACTGTAGTTTGAACCATTGACACCTTGGGGGTTCGAGCTAAAAATCTGATCGTGAATTGGAAATATTTAGTGCAGAGTGAAATCTTGCAGGAAAATGCAAGGGCCTACTTGAAATGGGACGTGGATGGCATTGTGGGTTAAACCACAGAGCCTAGGACTTGCCGATCAGAAGGTCGGTGGTTCGAATCCCCGCAACAGGGTGAGCTCCCGTTGCTCGGTCCCTGCTCCTGCCAACCTAGCAGTTCGAAAGCACGTCAAAGTGCAAGTAGATAAATAGGTACCGCTCCGGCGGGAAGGTATACGGCATTTCTGTGCGCTGCTCTGGTTTGCCAGAAGCAGCTTAGTCATGCTGGCCACATGACCCGGAAGCTGTACGCCGGCTCCCTCGGCCAATAAAGCGAGATGAGCGCCGCAACCCCAGAGTTGGTCACAATTGGACCTAATGGTCAGGGGTCCCTTTACCTTTACTCGAAATGCAGCTTTTTCAAACGTTGGCATTCTAATGTGATCCCCTACAAAGAGCTCAAAATATGTTGACTTCAATGCATGTATCTTTCTTCCCAGGCATTATAAAACCTCTGTGGTGATCATGTGCTTCATTTTCCCTACTGTCGTGCCTTGGTACTTCTGGGGGGAGACGTATCACACCAGCTTCTTCATGGCTGCCATCCTCCGCTATGCCTTAATCCTCAACGCCACCTGGCTGGTGAACAGTGCGGCACACATGTATGGCAACCGGCCGTATGATAAGAACATCAACCCCAGAGAGAACCACTTTGTCGTACTTGGAGCCCTAGGTATGTAAAGGGGAAGATGTTGGGGTTTGGGGGAGGGGAGGGTCTGTTGTTGTCTTGCTCCCACCACAGTTGGTGTGTATTTTGGTTAGCAAGCACCTTTTGCCTTCTTTTTGACCCATGTTCGGATCTGCAGGAAGTTTCGCCTGCTTTCCATCCCTGGTTTTCCCTGCTGTGCCCACATCCTGTTTCACTTTCCTCGTTCATGAGAAGTCATCCTGTTGCCATTGACTTTCACACAGGTAGCCATAGCTTCTGGGGAGAGCATCCAGGCTTCTCTACCACCTTTTCAAAGAGGCCATCTCTAGAGAGGTTCTCGCAGGGAAATTATATTTCTCAAGGGCTGCATAAGGCCTTCATTCCAGCATGCTACCAGGATATCAAACAATGGAGAGGGGAGGGAGGAAAATATCTCCCTCCTTGCCTTTGCTGGTGGATGGACTGGAGCACTGCTTCTAACTTCAGAAAGTTGATGGTGAAATGAAGTCTGGCAGGCTTGAAAATTATTTGCTGTGTGTGTGCACATTTAATTTTCTGAGCCCAGGAGAAGCTGTCCAACTTCAGCCATCTTCTAAGATTTTTTGCTGAATGTATACGCCCATATCAAAAATACCGACTCCTTGGCCATTTGTCGGTTTCAATCTAGGAGAGAGTTTTTTCTCTCCCCACTCCACTGTCCTGGGTGTCCTTGTTGCAGCAATCTCCTCCCCTGAACATCCTTCTCCCCTTTATCTGAACACCTTAGTTATCCTGACAGTGGTGAAAAGGCATGTTGGAAGTCAGGCACAGAAGCAAAGAATTCTTCCTGGCTCAGATTTTAATCCCAAAACGGAGAAGAATTTCAGCGCCTCTAAAACTCACTTCTCCTTTGAGATGGGGTTCTGTGAACCTCAGTTTAATTTCTGATCCCAGCCTCTCCTCTACCTTTTAACTGAGGCGAGACCTGTTTCACATTGACTTTGAAGCCTAAGTGAAAAGCAGTGCACGGTCATCCAGATTCAGCTTTTGTTACAGACCATAATAGATACTATTATTAGTATTTAAGCATGGCAGAACACCATTTTAATAATAAAGTGCCAACAGGAACTTTATAGAGGTAGGCTAGAGGAAAACGTTCTCCTACTCTGTGTAGCTGGCATACACACACACACACACACACACACAAAAATCCAAATTGTGAACAGGGAAAAAAATGTATATAAAATTGTACTGACCATTTTTATCTGCCACAAAAAATGTTTGTTTGTCATCCTGTTTTGCATGCTGCTTTATTTAGCTGGGAGGCATTGTTCTGAAAGCAAATATTGCAGTTTTGGGTAAGTGTTGTGGAGAAAGGGTAACGGTTCTTGAGGCCACAGAGTTGGGATGCATTTCTACTCCTGCAAACTGGATTATTTCGTTAGTACAGGAGCAGAAAAGCGATTTTAGGAATCTGAAACGTGGATCAGACAGTAGATCCACCGTAGATTTCTGTGGATTTAGACATCATGAACAGGAATTCTGCCTTATGCCAGAATTTGATCTGAACATCCAATTCTTGCAAGTTTAGAAGGCCCATGAAATAAATTGATATTGCTTCCGGCAAGTTCCTAGACTTGGAATGGCATTATTCCTATCTGGTGTGAGGGTCACGAAAAGGGTTTGAATTAATGCTCCAGTCTTATGCACTGATCCAATATTTTGTGCTTCAGAAGTTTCGTAGGAGGTGCTAATCGCTGAACATTCAGGAGCAAAATGGTCAGTTGTTCCCAGTGGTACAACATACTGTAGGTAGATTACCCTATACGTATCTGCTTGTTCACTCCTTGGAAATAGCCTTAACGCCTCGCCACAGTGAGATGGGCCAAACAACCTGTCATTTCTCTGCCCTACGTTTCTAAGGAAGGAAACTGCAGAACACTTTGCTGCAGTTTGGTGGGTTGATTTGAGGCCGTTGCATACCTTCCAACATTTCTCTGGTGAAAATAGAGATGCCCTAAGGAAAAGCGGGACGTTCTGGGATCAAACCAGAAACCAGGACGGCTCCTGTAAATCTGGGACTGTCCCTGGAAAATAGGGACACTTGGAGGGTCTGCCATTGGTGTGGTACACTGGGGACCAGTTACTCTGAAGAGGACATTCTCCTTCATTCAGTCTCCATCAGCATCCCTAGAGAGTTTTATCGTTGCCATTTCCCACTTGACATAGTTTGGTCTCTCTGAAGATGTCTGTGGTAATTATCTCCTTGCCACATACGAATTGTTCCTTTGCACATTCGATGGGAGCTTATTATTGCAGTTCCAGTGATTATGCAACAAGCCCCACAGATTATTATCCTTAATCCCCTTGCCTCCCCTGTATTGATTTTAAGTTGCAATTATTCTCAGGCCACCTAGCCTGCCTTTTGCTGTTCCACGTACACTGACGACATTCCCCTCCCACTGGTTTCTCCCTTCTTGTGTGCGATGGCTGTCCCATGATTCCTCAGAAGGGTGACGTGACCCAACCTTTCCTTCTGATTCTTTCGGTGCCAGAGAGCAGAAGTTACTTCATTAGTTGCTTATAATGGGGCCTCTGGGGATTTTTTCCCGCCAGAACTTTCCGGAACTCTCAGGTGGGCGCCATTATAAAAGAACAAGGGAGCTCTGGTACCTCTTTTTTTCTAGAAAAAAAATGCATGGGGTGCCTCCAATTCTGGATCCTTTTCCAGGATCATTCACCAAGAAGCTAATCTAGGCTTAATATCAAAATAGTGTGGCAGTGCAGTGGCAGTGGAAATGGTAGTTCAAATGTGGCAGTGGAAATGGTAGTTCAAATGGTAGCTCCAGCAGTAAGTTAGCAGTTAAAGGCTTCCTGCAGCAAACATTTCTTGAATACATACTCACACTCAGCCATAAAGGACGTTGTTTTTACTCATCAAGCAAACTAAAGAAACTTAAAATTTACTCACTGGAGTCGACTGCTTTCCAGAACGTAGTTCCCAAATAAAGACACTACTTGGGCGCTTATGATTTCTCCTCCTTTCTCTCTCTCTCCCCAGGCGAAGGTTTCCACAACTACCACCATACTTTTCCCTATGATTACTCGACCAGTGAATTTGGCTTGAACTGGAACATCACAACAGCTTTCATTGATCTTATGTGTTACCTGGGCTTGGCCACGGACTGCAAGCGAGTGTCAAAGGAGACCATCATGGCCCGGAAAATTCGGACTGGTGATGGTAGCCACAAGACTGGCTGAAGGTCTGCTCTCCTCCGTCTCCTTTCCTCCCTTCCTTCTCTTTCAAATAACCTGGGCATATGTTTAATGTTCTGCTTACTAAATACAAAGCAATGCTTTCAGGATTCTCAAGGCGATGACTCTAACCCATTCCAGTACTATGTTTTGAAATGATATATTCAAGACCTGTAACTTTTACAGGGGACACCTCTCTCTCTCTCTCTCTCTCTCTCTCTCTCTCTCTCTCTCTCCTTTTGTTTCGCTTGCTTTCATTAGAAGCTGGTAGAACACCCAACAAACTTCCCTGCAACTGATTGGAGGGACTGAGCCAACGGAGTTTCACCAGTGTAGGGACTCCGTTTGCAATTATGTGTGTTTGGGTCAGCTGTCCCTCTCCCTGGTTCTTGAGGCTGGTTCTTTGATGAGTGGAGGGAGATTTGTCCTATCTCTTGTTCTTGTAGAGAAACCTGAGTCTAACCCCTTGGGCCAGGGGTTCTGAAATCTGGAGAAAGCAGAAGGAGTGGGTTTGCTATTGCAGAGGTTAGAGGGCAGGGATGGAAAGCGAAAGGAGAATGTGTTTTGTAAGGGTTGCAAAGAAGCCTGCTGGTTAGTCCCAGAATTAGGGGTTGGTTTTCTTAACTGGAGCCGAGTGATTCTTCTACCTCTGCCCATGTTCTAGTGTCATGAAAACTGCTCTTTTCCTGCACCCGGGCGCTAGTTTAGAAACCAAGCGGCCTGTGCAGGATTATGAGATGCTTATGTAGGAAAGCTACACAAAGGAGCTGGTTGCTGGATAGTTCTGGAACAGATTTGGCTGCGAACGGGTTCCGAGTGGGGAAATGGGCATGTTTTGAGGGTGGAAACGAGTGCACCAAAGCAACACTTCCTGACAGGAAAGAGGAGGTACTGGAGGGGTTTGAACCAAAGGTGTGTCACAGACCCAAGCTGTTTTGTTTTTGTGTGTGCTGGAAGAGTATATTTCAATTTGGACGCAGGACGGTGTGTTTGTTGGTGTAGGTAAAAACAGATCGTTTTCATTCTGCAAAATATGGCAGCTGATGTCCACACACTGATCCCTGGAAGGATCAACTAAGGGCTGAAATCAAAGAAAGAAGTATAGTCCCTGTTCAGGGAGCTTTATACTGTTCTTGAGACACCAGGGCAGCATTAGGTGTCAAAATTTTGCACGCCCTAACAATTTTGCAACCGCCCCGTGGCCCACCCACCCCTGCTATGCCACTGCTTTCTACACAGGTTCTTTGCAGGAGAGCTTGTGAAAGAAGAGAGCGAGAGAGTCCACTTTTGCAATCCATAGGAAAGCTGCTTTCAAAGGAGGGAGGTGTTTGCACATCCATTATACACAGATTTCTAACAGGGTGACAAAGACTACAGCATTCACACACTTGATTTGATTATCTGCTACTGGTGAGAGGAGGGGGCATTTGCAGTGATGAGTGTCACATGGCCAAGAAGAGCACATCTTCTGTAACCATTCTGCATAAGGAGAGGATATTTTGGCAGACGCTGTTGGTTTAATTTTTGAATCTATGTAGGGTTGGCATATGTCTGGAATTCCAAGGACAGAATTAGTGTTTGGGGGGAATTTTGTGAGAATGACAAAATGTCCAGGTTTTGGAAACTTGCCCCCCAGCAGCTCAACAACTTTCCCCAAAAAGCAACCCTAATTTATGTGTTGCATTAGTTTTCCTCTTTAGTGCACCTCTTTCTGCCATGCGAAGAAGTTTCACTGCAGTGAAATTTCCCTTCCTATCATCTAGCCACCTTAATGGGGATGTATTGTGTTTCGAGTAACGTGAAACGTTAGCTCAGATGCAACCTATTGATAATTCATATAAAATATCAGCAGAAAGGGTAAGAGAGAAGCTGATTCTGACTCCACGGAGAGTTGTAGTGCAGGTTGTTTCCAGTTCTCCTCTCCAGGAAGGGAACAACGACCCACTGCTAGCTAGCTACGCTAGCTCTGCTTACTCAGAATGGATGTGTATAGGATCTTGACTAATCCCCTGCCATGCCAGAGTTTGCAGCAGCTGTCCTCTGAATTGTTTTGCACTGCCCAGCTGTCAGCTGATTTACATTTGAATTACTCATCAGTTAGCACTCAGGCTCAGCAAAAAGATAAATCCAGCTCAACAGAAAAGCACATTGCAGACAGGACAGCTAAAGCAGGCCCTGATCTAGGGAGAGGACGTTCTTTTCTCTGCTGTATTGCAAAATCCGGTTCCTGAGATTAAAGGCTGCAATCGTACACCTGCTGACTTGGGCGTAAGCGTGGCTGGACTCTGTGGGACTTGTTTAGAATCATAGCATCCGACTGCCTGCAATGCAGGAATCTCTCCCTGTTCCAGTTAGGATTTCACAGTGAAGGCCCCCAAACCAACCCCTTTCTGTTCCTCCGTAGCACCAGGGCACATGCCTGTCTCCTTCCCCATGACCCAAATGTTCAAACTCCCATCAATATGACAGCTTCTTGGCCCCCCTGCTCCTTGTCGTTCACCAGGAAAGGCTTCTGGTTTCTGAGCTTCCCAGGAACATCTGGCTGACCTCTGTTGTCTGCCTGATTCATCAGTCCTCTTCTTATGAATAACCTTTTATTAGGAAGTGGAAGTTCCTGCCAAAGCAGCTTGACACCAGGGGTGATTTCTTATTTTTTTATATTTTTGGCCTCAAGAGAAATTATGAGCGTAGCAACCCATAGTTATGTAAAGACCAGTTTTGCCACCTGAGGCACTTCATCATTTTTAAAGAGAGCAATACAAGGAAGTGTTGAAAAGCCCTTGTGGACTTTTTCTGCCTTCGCTTCACCAGTTTGGTATGTGGAGAGGCTATGACTTCAAGCAGGTTTTACTTCAATTTCCCCTCTGCCTCCCTTGGCTTAAAGAGTGTCTTTGGGGAAGTCACGTGAGATGCAAAAGGAGCGGAGGGAAACAGAGTTTTGTAGAGGACACCTAGGGTCTGTCTCTTCACACGTGGAATTTTTGGTGTATTCCTGACATTAAGTCCACACCAGTATTCTAAATTAGCCAGGCTCATTTTGCACCTGACTATCGACCACTTGAGACCAAGCGAAGATGCCTGGGTGTCAGGAGGGTGCCTGATATCTCCACCATCTGGAGGTGTGTGCCTGAGGATCATTGGATCTAGACCAGTGGCTCTCAACCTGTGGATCCCCAGATGTTGTTGGACTACAACTCCCATCATCCCTGAGCTCTGGCCTTGCTAGCTAGGGGTGATGGGAGTTGTAGTTCAACGACATCTGGGGACCCACAGGTTGAGAAAGGCTGATCTAGACTGTTTTCACACACTAATACCCCACCCTGTAGAATTCTGCCACTTACATTTTACTGGCACAATTGGAATTAATTTCAGGAACCAAAATGCTTTCTCTGTGTGGCCTGAGCAGGAGCAGTGAACAATGTTCTAGTTAATTGTTGTCGCTTGTCTTCCCACTGCCCTGCTCAAAAGTTGTGAAGAATATTCTTACGTTATGAATGGTCCATGTCACCATTGAGAAAGAGAGGTAGGAACAGGCTGATAGATTTGTAGAACATCCCTGGCTCAAGTGACTTTTCTTCCTTAAGCTCTCAAAGTTCTTAACCTGGCTCGAGGTTGTCATCTAAACTAGCCAGATGTTTAACTGAGAATCAATCACAGTCCATCATTTGAAAAATAAGACTTTAGAGCAGTCTTGCCCCCAAATGGCAACTAGACATTCTGCTTTGGCAACTGTAACCTTGGTTTAAGGGGAGCCATTTGGCCCTAGCTTATATATCTGAGTTTCTAATGCTGGTAGACACCTAAAACTGCAGAACCTGATTCTTTGTTCAGGTACACTTGCCAGGTGACTAGAAATACGCTTAGTGGCAACTTGAGGTTCCTGTTGAGTGCTGGGCTAAGCAGCCATCACTCTCGTGAGAATAGTTCAGGAGAAGTTCACAGACTGGGGTTTCCCCTTTCATCGCCCCTAATTTTCACTGACTCTGACATAGGATGTTTGGAATATAGCAGTATTGGTTCGGACACCGTTTCACATTCCTGAATCCATTTGTTCGGCCATCGCAATGAGCTTGGCTATGACCAACAGCAGCCATCCCAAGTCGTTGGGTGGCCTCAGTCATAGTGCTAGGTCGGTGCGATTTCTGAAGGCTTATCCTTGCTCCAACTTGTACCTGGAAGACACTGGGGCCAGTAATAAATAAAGAACTAAATTATCCTCCTAGCAGGGTCACCTGCACAGCACTGCCTCCCTAAGTGATGCTCCCCTTGTGGCCATCAGAACTGTGTGTTCTCTCACAGAAGGAAACAAGCGCTATCGACTCAGGTGTTGAGATTGCAAACTTGATACGGGCCTAGCGTATCCAAAACGTTGGGATGTGGGATGAAAACGTAAGCAACCAAACAGTTCCCATTTGGGTCCAGACACTTTGCGGGGGCGGGGGGGTAAACGGACAAGTATTTTGATGTGCCTTAAGCTTTTCTTGAACATACATAGGAAGTATCAAGAGCTCTTCGCAGTATTTTATTTTCACCTGTGCTAAATTATTTTTATGTTAATTATTCATCTGCGTTGAATTGTGGGCACAGATGCGTTTTTGTTTTTTTAATGTACTTGGTTAATCTTCTGTTAAGTTAAGGAATAGTTAGATCACTTAAAAATAAAGCCTTTTTTTGCTTCTCCTTTTTTTGTGTGGTGCACATTTTATCTAGGATGCATTCTCTAGAAGGTGTCCTCTTTGGTTAGCTTCTCTTTCTCCCTCTCCCTCTCCCTCTCTCTCTCTTTCTCTCTCTCTCCCCTTTGTGATATGGGCTGGAATTATGTGGGTGTTGATTGGAGTACGCAATCTAGCAGTCAGAGCAGCAGCCTAGTCATTGGGAAACCTGGGCTGTGTTCTTAACTGCAACTTAAACTACAATCCTATACTTAGGACCTTGGAGGCGGCTCTATTGAATTCAGTGGGGCTTCCCCCCCCCCCCGAGCGGCGGATTTTGTATAGGATTGTACTGTTAGATTCTTTGTGAGTGCAATGGGCAAGTTTTTCCTCTTCTCTTCAGCCTGCATTTGCTGGTGTGCAAAAGGGCAAAAGCCCCCGTTTTAAAAGGGGAGTACTAATGTGGTTTAACTCAATGTTCTGAGGTATAAGTCACTATTGACTATTTGGGACTAAACTGGCTTTCATCTCAGTGCTTCAGCTTAACTGGCTCGAGGTCAAACGGACCTCAATATCCAAGTAGCAGTTACACAAGCAAACCATCGGATTGCAGCGAGCGAAAGAGTTTGAAACTGGAAAACCAAATGCCGGAACAGTGGAGACTGTGAAGGTCAATGTGAATTGTCGACGCTCCTATGCTCCTGATGTGTGTATGCATAGGACCTTTGTTTGCTTTTCCATTTAATATTTCCATATTTTATGTACTGAGAAATAATAATAATTTTCTTCTAATATGAAATTGAATGTCTGATTTATGCTGATCTGAAGGTGTGTTGTTGTTTGTTTGTTTATAATAAAATGGTTGGTTTTTGAATTTGACTTTCTGTTGCAATCTCTTGGTGACATTGCGAGACATTCAGAATTGCAGGGCCCTGAGCTGTCCTTAACATGCGTCCAGACAGAGGAAGCAATGAATTCCCCTCCTTGGCGTGGCTTCCTCTTCCCAAACTTCATGGCACCATTTCCTTTGAAAGAGCCCTGGAGTGTTACAGGGTCTTTGTTCTTGAGATGCTTCCTCCCTTTATTCCTTTTAACATAGTTGCAGGCTGAGAAGGGCAGTAAAAGCATTGCCGGACAGTCAAGGTGGCCTCCAAATCCCATACGCTCAGATCTCCCAGGTTCATAGCTGTCAAGTTACCGATTTGAAAATAAGGGACCAGCAGCCTCGAAAATAAGGGACCAGCAGCCAAAATAAGGGATTATAGTCAACCAGCTAAAATACGAAGTTAAAAGGGACCAGATAATTTGGGAGAACAGCGCCAGTTTTTAGCCCTTCGTTTCCAGAGGTTGCTGCTCAAGACACCAGCTGATGAAACACTGCAATTAAATAACTACAAGCAGCAACCACTTTTCGCACAAAACAAAGTCCAAGCTATGAAGATGCTGCTGCAGTTCTGTATCTTTTCTCTCGTGCTCCAACTGCAGCTCTCAGTTCCATCAGGCGGGGCGGGAGGAAGAGCGGGGGGGAATAGCGCTCGAAGTAAACCTGCAGATCAGACCATCTATGCTAGTCTACCACTACAAATCTATGGGAGAAGCGCTTGCGGTCCTTCCTCCGCTTTCCCACTCTACGGTTAGCCCTTGGAACACCTGCCTGCGCCCGCGCCTCCGCCTCCTCCTCCTCCTCCTCTCTCTGAACTGCTTTCTCTATGGTTGCCCTTGATCTCTCTCAAGGCACCTCAGCAATTCATAGGCCGCGCCAGGCTGCCCATCTCATCCAGGTCTTTCGGCGATGCAGCCACAGTACGGCCTAGCGGGGGTGGCAGTGGCGGGCAGAGGGGAGGCCCCAGGCAGAGACACTCAGTTTGGCGGTCGCGAGGAGGATGGTGGCGGAAGGGCCCGAGGCTCCTGCCAGTCCCGGTGGGAAGGGGTTCCCGGGGCCGAGGCTGGTGAGAGGAGGCCAGAGGGGGGCGGGCCGGGCAGCCAAGCAACACAGTTGGAGCCTCCCTCCTCCCTGGCTGGCAGGGAAGGAGGGAGAGGAGCTGCTTCCTTTGAAACCCGGGAAATTTAAGGGACATCATCAATAAGGGACAGCAGCGGGACACGGCGCTGGGATAAGGGAGTTTCTCGCCAAATAAGGGACGGTTGACAGCTATGCCCAGGTTGTTCTTGCCGAAGCACCCTCCCTTTCCCACAAATGACATCCTGATTCAAATTCCCCAGAGCTAAGCTTCTGTTACAGTGCCTGTCTTTTCTGAGGTTGCCTATTCAACCAGGAAGGAAGTTCCTTCTATCTTCTTATTGGACCTGTCGGTTTAGCCACTGCTTGGATTGCCTGCAGCTTCAAGAGTCAGGTGATGTGCTGTCGGCAACATTGCCTAGAAAACAAAGAGAGTGGACGAGCCACTTGGAACGCCTTTCTTTCGCAATAATGTACAGCCTCGTACTCAAGCAGCCAGACATAGTTGCAGGTTGGGGTTTACTTCAGTTTAAAGTTGGCCCAGGCCCCGTGCCAAGGGTGTGGTGCCAATCTCAGTTCATGCAGCCAAACACGTAACATCATCAGCTCAGGGCTTTCCGACCGGCCAAGTCTGAGTCAGTGTGTCACTTCGCTTCACTTCAGTCCAGTCACCTA